TAAAATTTTTTGAAAAGAATTAAGGGAGCATACATGTGCCGGGAATTATTCTTTGTTGGCATCAAATACTTACTAATTTTAGTATTAATGAGATATTAGAGGAGACACATTTTTTTCCTGAAGAAATTGATACTTCTTATCTATTCATTTTTCATGTTTTTAAAAGTGGAGTTTGGTTCAATTGCTTACTATTAGAATTTTCTAATGGTAAAGTGTAACATTTGACATCATTATAAATGAACGATTTTTAGTCAATACTTCAATCTGTTTTGCATTTTGGTTTCTAACTTCATATTTGACAATAGAATTAGAATTAGAATATCTGCTATAGTTAATATTTTCTAGGCACTAGGCTAAATCTTTTCCCTGATTTATCTCATAATCTGATATCATTAATTCCATTTTTACAGGAGACCAATTGAGATATTAACCAACTCACTCTTAACATCACATAGCTTGAAATAGAAAGGGCAACTTACAGAACGTCTGATTTTAGCTCTCATTAGTGGACTTAATATGGATGTCACTTGTCATACTAGAAATATTAAAATAAAGAACTTCAATATTTGGAAATAGGACTATTGTGACATTAAAATACTCAAATAATATAATAAAAAGTAAACTATAAAGAAATCTTCAAAAGTGAGGAACGATTTAATAATGAATGAAAGAGGAAGCAAGATTATAAATTTGTTAAGTGATAGCTACAATGACAGATGTTCTGTACTTTCTGGACAGAGAGCTACTTGCAGGTTAAAGAATAACCAGCCTTTATGGACATGGACCTGGATTTAGATGAAAAAAATTTAGAGCATCTCTGAACCTGATTCATTCTTAAGCTGACAGAGTAATCCTGGTATCTAGATGTTTTAAGTTTTTCTTCTAAGTAGTTAGTGTCTAGGAAGGGGAAAACATGCTCAAACCCATGTCATTCTACCTCTAGATTAGGCCTATGTGTTTGGCAGATAATAGCTCAAAGCCTAATTACATAGCTATTAGAGGTCGGTCGACAATCTCAAATCTCTGGCCACATTCAGTGGATCTTTAGTATCAACAACTTTGCAGCATGCTCCATTCTCTGACCTTTTTTTAACCATTTTCTAAATCCCCTTCCTCCATTGCCTACTCTATTATACACTCATAAAATGTCCATTTCTCAAGATCTAGCGTATCAGCACTGTGTTCTGCTTCTAAATTATTACAGTGGAGCTAGAGCTTTTGCAGAAAAACTGAGCAAAATAAAATGATTTTTTTTTATTGCCCCGAGGGAGCAGTTCTGTTTGGGATATTTGTGGAAGAAACCCCATGGATTTACATTTATGAGATTATGTCTGATAAGAGCCATTATAATCTCTTATCACTATAAGAATACCAGTATTTTATGTCAAGTAGAAGTAAGATGCTTATTCCTAGTGGGATAGATTTACACCAAAATTATTTCATGGTCTGTGTGTGTGTGTGTGTGTGTGTGTGTGTGTAGCGGTGTTGGTTCATGAAAGAGTATTAAGTGGCTGCCTTACTAACTCAATGCAATAATTTCTTGTTTGCAGAAATGGAAATGCTCTCATTTCTTTTTATTTTTATTGGGACCCTGATAGAAAGAAAACTAGAGATAGAGATAGACAAGCATAGAGACCAGGAATTGCAGGGATAGGGGAATTATTTCATCTGAGAACACTGATTGACATAGTGATCATGTGCCCCATGTCATAAATGATGCTAAGTTAAAATCAGTTTTTGCTTCCTGAAATTCTTGAATTGTTCACATAACCAAGTAAAGAAACAAGGAGGGCTTCCTCTATACTGTTAAGAAGGAAAAGAAGGAATTAACTGAGGGCCATGGGAGGAAAAAAAAAAAAAACACTGACCAAAGTAGTGTTGAAAGAATGAGAAAATCACCTGCTATCCAAGTGATGTACACAAATCCAGTATTGGGTGTTCTGCTGAAGAAAGTATGTTTGCTTTGGAAAATATTCTCACATCATGCACTGTCCTTATCAGCTGTCTTCCCCATGAAGGGTCCTTCTGCTGGATATCCTATTTCCCAAGTACTCCGAGATGAAAAAAAAAAAAAAAATCAGAGCATGATCGGATCTTTATTATAATATTCTTCTTTAATGGGAGGGAATTTATGAATGACAAAATCATTAGAAGAGTGAGAGATTTTGTGCATGGGTTTGTTTTATCCTCATCAGATAGGCTCAATAGTTAGGAAAAGTAAATTAGTGGTGCATGGACCATTTGGTTTTGAAAAAGTCACTCCTGCTTGGTGTCTTAAGCTCTCAAGCCAGGCTTCTCAGTGGGACGTAAGTATCAAAATTTCTTTGGGGAAGAATTTCACAATTCACATTGTTCTGTCCTCTTAATTTTGGTATTGTCAAAATCTTCAAGTCAAAGATGACAGGAACATAACAGTGCTGAACAAGTTTAGCTATCACTCATAGGTGGAGCCACAATCCAACCTAGGGAACAGTGGACGTCTCAGTCAGAGATTCTTAGAAAGAATTTTTATCCCCATTCCTCCTCCCTTACCCTCCCAACCCTCTGCCCAATCTAGAGTTCTTCTAATCCTGCCATGCTCCCCCTCCCTACCCCACTATGAATCAGCCTCCTTATATCAGAGAAAACATTCAGCATTTGGTTTTTTGGGATTGGCTAACTTCACTTAGCATTATCTTCTTAACTCCCTACATTTACCTGAAAATGCCATGATTTTATTCTCTTATTGCTGAGTAATATTCCACTGTGTATATATGCCACATTTTCTTTATCCATTCATCTACTGAAGGACATCTAGGTTGGTTTCACCCTTTAGCTATTGTGAATTGTGCTGCAATAAACATTGATGTGGCTGTGTCCCTGCAGTAGGCTGTTTTTAAGTCCTTTGGGTATGGACCGAGGAGTGGATAGCTGGGTCAAAAGGTGGTTTCATTCCCAGTTTTCCAAGGAATATCCGTACTGCTTTCCATATTGACTGCACCATTTTACAGTTCCAGCAGCAATGTATAAGTGTGGCTTTTCCCCCACATTCTTACCAACACTTACTGTAGCGCGTATTCTTGATGACTGCCATTCTGACTGGAGTGCAATGAAATCTTAGAGTAGTTTTGATTTGCATTTCTCTAATTGATAGAGACATTGAACTTTCTTTATATATTTGTTGATTGATTGTATATCATCTGTGAATTGTCTGTTTAATTCCTTGGCCCATTTATTGATTGGGTTATTTGGTTTTTTGGTGTTTAGCTTTTTGAGTTCTTTATATACCCTAAAGATTAGTGCTCTATCTGATATACAAGTGGTAAAAATTTGCTCCCAAGCTGTAGGCTCTATGTTTACCTCACTGATTGTTTCTTTTGCTGAGATGAAACTTTTTAGTTTGAATCCATCCCATTTATTCATTCTTGATTTTAATTCTTGCACTATAGGAGTCTTATTAAGCTAGTAGGGGCCTAATCCAATATCATGACTATTTGGGCCTACTTTTGCAGTAACAAAACAGCATGGTATTGGCACCAAAATAGACTGGTAGACCAATGGTACAGAATAGAGGACACAGAGTCTAACCTACATAATTACAGTTATTTTATATTAGAGAAAGATGACAAAAACATACATTGGAGAAAAGATAGCCTGTTCAACAAATGGTGCTGAGAAAACTGGAAATCCATATTCAAGAAAATGAATTTAAACCTGTATCTCTCACCATGTACAAAACTCAACTCAAAGTGGATCAAGGACCTAGGAATTAATAGATCTTTAATAAAGTTCATTTTTCTTTAAACAATCTTTAACAAAGAACATGTTTTATCTTCAGGTTTTTAAAGCTGGCATTTAGTACCAAACTATGTGAAGAACCATGAGACACCTTGTATTCCCAGAAAGCTATAAGTCATTCTTTTTTTTCTTTTAACCATACTAGGAATTGAACATACGGTCTCATGCAAGCTGGGCACTCTTTCATATATATTGTTAAATGTTATAAATAAATTTTAACCATAGCATCAAATATCTGTTGATCTTTATTAAAGATCTTTATTAAAGACCATTTAAAGAAAGTGATCTTTAATTGTTCATTTGGTTTTCAACACCCTACAATGACTTTAATCTCAGGGGTCATTTTTAAATTTTATTTAGCAAGGCATTGACTGGGGTTATTTCTTTACTCCAGAGGCCTTGATAAACATTTTTGACATAAACTGAGCTACATCAATTGGAAACTTACATCTCATGCAACAACAGATTGTTTTAATTTTATGAAGCAAAGGATTGGCTTTTATTTGCAAATAGCACCAAAGAAAGCAATATTATCAAAAGAAGTGGCCTGATAGTTCAAGAGATAAATTGGCTGCATTAAATATTTCATTCCCTTTTATTCTACATTTTCATATGGCATAAACACTAATTAAACCCCTCAATGGCTTCCTCCTTCCAAGAGAACATTTTCTCTCTGACAAGAAATGTCAGCTAAAGAATGTGTGGTTTACAGGAGACCTGCCATTAAAAACACGTGTCGATTTCACCTGGTGAAGAGCTCATTTGTTTCCATAATCTGATTGGCAGAGATACCAGGAAGCTCTTACCACAGGCTCTCACCCACTGATGTGATGGAACCCAGTGCCTTTGCCTTGATGTGGTTTCCAAAGACAAACACCCTTTAGACTGTGATATATCTTGTTATCTAGTGTTGCCTGGTACATTTCAAGTAAAACTGGGAAAAAAAGCCATGGTGTTTTGAGGGTTTTAAGGCATCTTTGCCTATATGATGATGGTGGGGTGCAGAAACTAACTCCAGGTTCAACTGAAGTCTTTCAGGTGTTTGGAATGGGTTTGCAGATATGCTGAGGCCCAGAGAGAGCTCCTGCCCATGGGTCCATGGGTAGGGGAGTAGAAGGGAGGGGTATCCCAGGATTCAGTAAACTGTTAGAGATGCGAAATCTCCAGAATCTGCTAGAAAATCTTGCCATTCCATACTCATGTTTTCATGCTTCTCATTGCAGGGGAACACTTAAGAATCTGTCCTCAGGAATATACGTGCTGCACCACAGAAATGGAAGACAAGCTGAGCCAACAGAGCAAACTAGAATTTGAGAACCTCGTGGAAGAGACCAGCCATTTTGTGCGGACCACTTTTGTGTCCAGGCACAAGAAGTTTGATGGTAGGTGAAACGGTTTGGCTTCATTTAGTTTTTCTAAGAGAAAAGGTGTGCTTTTCTGTGAGAATCATGCTGTTTTATGAAAAGCTTTTTTTGAAGGAGATTTTCATTCCCTCTTTAACATTTATAGTATTGTCTATTTTTAGGAAAAGCATGAACTTTCTTGACAATGTGTGATTTTTTACAATAGAATCTTGGAAAAAAAAATCTGATTTACCCAAAAGCCATTTTGCATTTGTGCTTTGCCTATAAAATTTATTCTGAAAGATGTAGCTCAACTTTTCATTTTTAGGGTGATTCTAAACCAGGTTTTGTCACTGGGGCTTGTCTTCTACTTTCATATGGGGATATTAACTTTTTAAAAATTGTGTCAGTTAAGATTACTTGATATATAACATCACTTCTAAGAAGACAGACTCGTCTTAGCTGCCAGTGACATGGACTCCTTTATTTTAGAGTTTGCTATTGTGATAACATATCTTACATGGTACTCATGACACATTCTACATAAGATTTAGATCTTCCTTCGCTTTCCTGTTTATAAACAATCTACTTCATTTCTTTGTTCTATTGGTTTCATAAATATTTTTGGATTCGAAAGCACAAAGACCAGAAGCAATTATTACTGAGTTTCAGCACCGAATTTTCTCATCAGAGCCTCAGAGAAGTAATCAAATGCAATCTGATTTTTAAAAGCAATGTTAATAATGATAACAATAAGGTTAAATATTTTTGGATGGTGCAGTTTTTTAGGGCTCAAAGAAGTGAATGTACCTTTCTATGATTGTAAACCAGGCTTGTGAACGGTGGCAAGCCTGCCTTATGTCCCCTCCAACATATCACATTGCCCTAGTACAAAAGAGCTACTGCTCATTTTCTTTACCCTATTCAGTTAGGTACAGCAGAGCCATCTTGGGAAAGCTTACAAAGTCTTTTCTGTGTAGTAGGACAAATGTTCTACTTCATTGCTGTTTTAAACTATTATTGTGACACTGATTTCTTTCAAATTAATCCTCCAAGTTAGAAAAGACTTGGTCACCCGTGTTTTCGGTTCTCATGGTGATATGACATTTGCCATGTACGTGACTAGGACTTCATCTTTTCTGCAAGTATGTTTCAATGTCTTCATATTCCTTCTTTTTCTCTTGCTCTGTTTATAACTTTTTCTGGGGGTATATACGAAAATAATTCCTTATTTAGCAGCCATGCAATGCAGGTTGTTCCCTCGAATACAACTGGGGAGTAAAAAGAGGTTGCCCTTGACTGACAGATTACAAATCTAGTGGCATTCAGGGACTCTGTGTTTCGGGGACGACAATCTATCATTTCAAATTGAGGCAAATTGAGACATCTAGTTATTTGTTACAAAAGCAGGTGAAGTGATCTGCTGTTACTGATTTTTATCTATGTCGTTGGAAAACATAGTGCCTTCCCAAAGTTCTGCCCCTGGTCATGCTAAAATAAATCAAGGGCAGTATTCACAATTGATCATTTATATTTCTTTTAAGAAAAATATTAAATGTTATGTAGTTTTATGGTGAGAGGTTTTTTTTTTTTTTTTTTTTTTTTTTTTTGATAAGTAAAGCTATTCAAGAAGACTGAACCACATACTTCTGAGATTATCATATGAGTAGCTCTTAATATCTTTGGGTCTGTACAATTTAATCCCAGATCTCATTTGTCTTTGTTTTATTACAGAAGTCTCAGTCTCTCTCTCTCTCTCCCCCCCACCTTCCCTCCCTCTCCCTCTCCCAGGTGTGTTTTAAATTGTTCTAGTGTACTTAAGGGTGTGATGTCAATCAGTTTGACAGGACATTGATTTTGCTCAGATTAGATCTGACACAGGGTGATGAATTCTTTAGCAACAGTTGTATTAGGCTGCCATGAGAGAGGAAGTTAAGATTTTTTCCCCCCTTGGCAAAATTTCATCCAGACTTTACAAAAAAAAAAATTTTTAATGATTATTTTCATCTCTTAGAGCCCATTCTTAACAATATTATCATTATCATCCTCAATTTAAAAAGTCATCATAGTATTTTCTGCCTTTTTTTTTTCCCCAGTCCAGGGAATAGAACCCAGAACCTTGTACATCTCCAGCCCCTCCATTGGCTTTTTACAAAAACACTTTCTCCTGGCATTTATTGATGAGTTTCAGTTCTCATGAGTACAGAAGAACTGTCTAGGATGACTTGGAGAATGTTACCTTCTGAATTTTATTTTCTCACATGAAGCCAATGCTCCTGTAAAGGACTTTGAGTTTCTTATTAGTAACTTCCACAGTGAGTCATTTTGCATTATTACTGGAGTCTCTTTATCCAGAATGTTCTGTTTGAGGTTCTGCCTCAGGTGCCACTTTCTCAGAGAGATAGGTCTGTCATTTGTATTTTGTACATCTTTGTGGGCTCTAAGGTACTATTGTGAAGACAACAAAAAACTACTGCTTAATTTAAAATCGTGAGGCACTGACTTTCCTTCCTACTTTCATTAAGTACAACATCAATTTCGACTTCCCTGATATGTGTGAGTCAGTCCATTGTACATTCAAAGAGGTTAAATCCAATCACTGGGATAATTAGTTTCCGGTTGTTGTTTTCCTTATTATATTACAATGTCTTGATTCCATTTAACTTTTTGGTTTCTGGCAGACATGATTCTCTTTTAAAATTTGAGATTCTAATATGCTTAATATAAAACCACATGCTTCTCATGGTCATATTTTTTCCAGTATTTAATTAATATTTTGGGTAAGATTTATCATAAGATTTATTTAGAAGATACCACTGTGTACATTTGCCAATAATTATCGGAAGGTGGGCATCTAAACCTGAATTCATAGGAACTCTTCCTCAACTTTTCCGCAATCACCAAGCTTTGCTTTGCAGTCCCATTGAGAGTAACATTTTCAGCCGATGGACAATTGAAAAAGTATATAGTGCCACTTGCAGAAATTTCATTCTTTGGTAGAACATTTTCTTATCTCTGGGTATCTGGTTTTTTTTCCCCCTGACTATGAGGATAAAATTGAAATTTTATCAAGAGTATATATAAAATAGAGGGTTATGTTCTTGGCACTGGTGCTTCTCCCAGTGTCCTATGGAATTTTGTTTTCTCCTTTCTCTGGCCAAATTCCTACCTGGCTTTTTAATCAGTCACCCCCGTAAGCCCCTCCCCCCTTTGTCTGGGGTTCCTACAAAGTTCCCTCAGAACTTTACAGGGGTGTTCTCAACATGCTTTGTAGCCGAGCCCCGTTTTTGGTTTGCCTCACAGGGTCTAGTGTCCTGGACAAAAAGCCTTCCCTGTGCAGCCAGTAGAGTGACCACAGCTTTGTCCCCTCCCTTCTTACCTTTCTCCTCTGCCACATACCTTAGAAACCCACAAGTCCAAAAACAGCTGCAGGAAATCACATTAAAAGGCAGACAAAGGGAAGGTCCTGTTGGGCTCCCCCTCTTTTAACTTGAATTGTGTCTTTGGGGACCTGTCAATTTGGCATTCCTGTTTCAATGCCTACCGCTTTTATGCTCCTAAGTGCTTTGTTAGGATCCCAGGAAAGGGAGAACTGCTATTACTGATAGTGAGAGTAAGAAGAGAAAACACCTGGCCCAGATCCTCAGTCTTGAAGAAGCTAACCCTGTTTCTCAAGGGGAGATTGCAAGGCAGTCACACAATTACGAAGCAGCAGGGTCAGGGTCCTGCCCCAGGCCCACCACAGCAGGATCCTTGCTCTCAGCCTCCTCTACCCCATAATCTCCCCAGTGCTTTCTAGTGCTCACTTGGCCTGGCAGTTCATGGTCAACCAGCCATCCATCTATCTCCCCCGCCTGTCCTGTCCCAGTTTTTGTGGGAAGGAAGTGGAAATGACCGTCAGAGAAAAGTGGAAGGAGATGTTTTTAATCCTTAAAAAAGAAAATTGCTCACCTAAATATAGCACAAGCCCCCAAGGACCTTGGAGCTTGGAAAGGGAGAATGACTTGCCAATTTCCATCAAGAACAAGGGAGCCAAGAGTGTAACCTGATACATACATCCGTCTTATAAATAGTAATGTTAGAGGAAATCAATGTTTGGTTGAAATTCTAACTCAACTTTTATTTTGGGTGGACACTGGTGAAAATGATTGATATTTCTTTAACAAGGCCATAGTGATATTGGTGGGTCAGGAATCCAGCCACATTTGAGAAAAGATGGAAAGAATGTTGATTGGGAAGCTGTGCCTAAATTAAAGGGAATGCAAAAAAAAAAAAAAAAAAGGTTATTGAATCAATGAAAGCCCATTGTTTATTCTCCCTACCTCACAAGACATAGTGTTTTCTATCTTGATTTAGAGGCTAGCACTCTGTTTTCTAAGCATGTCTGTGGACTATGGATTATTCAGAGACAGGGATATTTGCTTGAATGGATATTTTATTTTGGTTATTTTATTTTCCTTTAGATTGATTTGAGTGGAAATTTATTCACATTCGGAACTCCATATGAGGTTTTGTGTTTAGTATGTTCTTCTTCGTCTTATTATTTTTCTTTTCTTCCTGGTTTTTATTTATGTATTTTAATGATATACATTTGTCCAGAGATTTTGGCAGCAAGTACATTTTTAAAAGCAAATTTTAAAAAATGAACAGTGATTTCCATCTTCATGAAGAACTTGTTCTGTTGTAACACCTCTGAATACCCATTGCACTGAATGTGAAAATAATTTATATACAGAAGCATAATATTTTTATGCTGCAAATCTGCTTGTGTTTTCTTTTTAAATATCATTTCTCATCTATATACTGTAGAGATGACAATAATGTAATGACTTCTTTAAAATATAGCCTAATTTTCTCAGAGAATGCACTTATATGAAAAAGAAAAAAAAAATCCTAAGTACTTTTCCATATGGTGGTAGAATCCTCCACATTTCTTGTCACATGGGTGATGTTTTGTGTACCTGCACGTGTGCTTTTGTGTTTCCATTTGAAAACCTATATTTTTAGAGCCCCCTCGGTAGAAGGCACTTGGCTAATTG